GCTCGGAGGCTCGGTGCCGCCGATGATGGTGCCGACTCCGGACGGGTTGGCGGGGCCGATGCCACAGAGAGTGCGGGGCTCGGCGCTGATGTGCTACGGGCTTTTGAAGGCTTTTCCATTGCCTGCGGGTGGCCCGACGCGGCTCCCGACTCTGCCGCCCTTAGACTCCTGGACGGAGCGGAGGCCTTTTCCCTGGCCTTATGAGTACCCGCGGTCTCTCGCTCCGTTGTCGACGGCGGCTGGAGAGCCTTGTTGAAGAGGAGCATTTTAAGGCGCATCTCTCTATTGCGCCTCGTGCGCGCCGTTAGCTTGGCGCAATGGCCACACTTCTGAGGAATATGGCCCTCCCCTAGGCAGCGAATGCAGCGGGAGTGGCCATCCGACACGGGCATAGCCTCGCCGCATGAGGGACACTTCTTGAACCCGGGAGAACCGGGCATGGCTGGTTGTTGGAATGTAACCCCCGGAATTATAACGGGGAATTGAAATAACAGTTTTGTTTTGTTTTTTAAACAATTAACTACTCTAACGGTGTATAACTGACTAACTCTAAGTTGGGAAGGGGCTAACTGGGAAACAACAGAACATATATCTAATTTTTTTCACTATATGATCTCTCCTCAGGAGAGGAGCGCGTTCCAAATCCGTCTGCGGCCGTGGACGGTTAGGAGGAACTGGCGGGTCGGGCCGCGCGACGCAGAAAAGGCGCGAACGCCGCGGGACACTCTGTGCATGCGCGGTCCTCCGGAGGGGGCTACTGCTACTAAGAAATTTCCGGTTTGCGGCGCCGGAACGAGCCCGACACCTGTAGTGGAGCACCCACGGGGACATCACTCGAAGAAGAAGTGGAGCACCACAGTGAGGGGAGCAAAGTGAGCTGGGGCCGCATTGCTCCACTTGCCCTGGCTCCTACCAAGACCTCAGGGCTGATTACCGTCAGGAGGCCGTCAGCCTGTTTCAGGGTGCCAGGCAGCACGTGCAGCAACTTGAGTGTAAGTCGCTCAGTGGCACCAGCTTGCTGCAGGAAGAGCAGGGCATAAAGCCCAGTGACCGAGGTATCGTCCTGCCCAAGCAACGGACAAGCCTCCCCAGCAAGCAGGAGTGACCGGTGAGGGGAGGCAAGGGGACACCCCCTCCCCAGTCTGGAGAAGGGCTGGACAACCCTGCTCTGTCCCAGACCCTACCTCTTTCTGCCTCAGTTCCATCCCTTCCCCCACTCCCCTTTCCCCAGCAATGTGGCCAAGGGGATTAGCAGGGCTGGGGATCTGGTGCCAGCAGCAGGGGTCCGGTCACGCTGCACTCACCACCCCTTTCAAGCTCTTTGAATGCTGAGCCGCTTAGCGGTTAATCATGTCTGAGAAAATGTCAGTTACACGATTACCGAATGACACGCTGCCGAGCGTCCTTGCCTGTAGCTACTGCTGTCTGCTTTTGAATGGAGCTTCCATTCGGCCAGATGCTTCAAGGTAACTGAGCATCTGAAATGTCAGTTCTGTGGCAGATGAATGGCTTGACAGCAGCTGGTTTTCTCACCACATATAAAAAACCACTGAAGCCATTTTATTTTTTCACAGCAGGCAATTTAAGTCCTGTCCGTACGAGGGTAGAATTGTGAACAGTGGCTCAGCTTCATTATAAAAAATTAGAGCTCTAGTGTAACATGCTGCCTCACTATTAGCCGAGTGGTCAACTACCCCTTAAGCATATCACTTCTCCTGCCTTGTCGCCTCTATTTGGCAGATCCCTCCAGCACTGTCTCTGCGGGGGAAGGAGGGAAGGCAGAGGCATAGTGGGGGACTGAGCACTAGCTGGGAATCAGCTAATTCCCAGCTCATGCCTGGTCACCTGCTGCACCTCTGTCTTTTAAATGTAGTAAGAGCCAGGAGCTAAGCACCCTGCAGTTTTTCCCTTTATCGACTAATTGAGTAGTCGATGGAAATTCCTGATTAATTTTAACATCCCTAGTCCAATGAGCATGGTGGTTAATAGAGCAGCAGCAGCGGCCTCTTTGCAGTAGGGCTCCCATTATTGTTAACACTAGTGGAGCTGAGTTGGTGCTAGCAACTACGACAAACTTAGAAAATATCCACGTGGTAAGAGCTTTAGAGTTGATCATGCAGAATATGCCTGGAGTCCACACAAGTGGTTGTAGTTTCCACTGCTGCCACTAGAGGGTCCCTAGACACAAGACTAAAGAGCATGAGCTATGCTTGCTTTAGAGCAGTGGTTCCCAACCTTTTTGAGCATACAGACCCCTTTTAAATCTAACAACATTTCATAGACACCCCCCCCCCCCGTCCCTGGGGGAGGAAAAACAAAAAAAGTACGATCCTTATTTTTAAACTCTCCACCCACCCCCGGCAGCATCGATACGCAGACCACAGGTTAGGAACCACTTCTTTAGAGGATTTAGCTCTCACCCCCAAGTAGTAGGTCTCCATTCAGGGCAGTAACAAAATGTATTAAGTGAGAGGGAAGCCAGAGATCAAATGAATATGGAGTGTAAATTCTCTTCTCTTTAGAAACGGTTAATCCCTCAAGGCTGAAGTAGACTGAACAGTGCAAAGAACCCACAGGGAGGAATGAATATGAAGATTGAACTATTCTCTGCCTTAATTATGGTATGTCTGATCTCTCTGTATGGACCCAGAGACATTAAACATTGCACCTGCTTCATTAATACAATGGACATTATTCAGCTTCCTTGTAATAAAACATTCCTCCCCTCCCCCCCAGCATTTGCCATAATTCAGCAAGAGGCCATCTTTACTGAAAACCAGGAGCGTGGAACCTTTTATTGGGTTGGGGTCAAGTGAGAAGCCAACCCGCCCAAACCCACCAACAACCCTTCACTGAGATGCTGAACTCCCCTTCCCTCCTCCAGTCTCACTCATGCAACTCGGGCACCGTGACTCAGATTAACTCTTCTGGGGGACTGGAACCAGTGGAATTTGTGATCCCCCTAAGTTCTGGGCGTTCAGTGTGAAGGGGGCTGTCAGTGGGATGGGAGGTCTGGCAGGGATGGGAGGATGGAGAAGCAGGCTGGCATAGGGATGAGTGGTCTGGGCAGGAAGTAGGATGTGGGAGGCAGCACAGGATTGGGGTGCTTACCTGGCAGAGTTCCTGTGGGAGGGGCACAGGTGGCTCCTGTGGCCCTGTACCTGCAGGCACTCTCCTCCACCTCTCCCATTGGCTGTGATTCCTGACCAATGGGAGCAGCAGTAGAAAAGCCTGCAGGCAAGCACTAGAATCATAGGGTTGGAAGAGTCCTCAGGAGGTCATTGAGATTCCCTGTGTGATCATTCCCCCATCTGAAGGGGCAGGGGGACGGCAGAACACAGAGCAGCTTCCTCCCCCCACCAGGCAGAGCTGGTCATGCTTGAACAATGGCTCCCTGCTGCTTCCCCTGCAGTGTGAGTATGTGTGGGGGAGCCCAGAGCCTCCTGGGCCAGATCAAGGAAGGCTGGGGACTGGATCCAGCCAGCAAGCCATAAGCTCCCCGACCTGCTGTAAACACAGTATTTTTCTAAAGAGGAAAGAATGATAGAAAAGACAATGACAACTGGTTTTCAGTGTAATAAAACTAGTTTATTTACACAGTAACGCGAGTGCCACAAGTACACAGCAAAGTACCACAGCAAACCAGAGTGTAACTACCCTCCCTGGCAAAGGAAGGCTTGGAGTTTATACACTTATTTATATAGAATGGGTCAATATAGATATGAAGCACCTGATAAAGCAATGCAGTCAGGAATTCCAAACACAAAGCTTACCCAGGACAATGGAGTCAACCGTATCGGAGGAATTAAAAAAAAAATCCCATTTATAAAAGATCACCAGTTTAGGAATCTCTAATTTAGAAATAATTTTATTTCCTTGTATTAAAAATAAGTGTGTTTACACTTAAATGCTCATCATAATTAAGATGAAAAGAAAAAAGCACCCCAAGAATTCGAGCTGCAAAACTTTCTTCAACCAAAAAACACCCAAATAAAAAGAATCCAAGTTTTTGAAAGTTTTTCAAAAAGAGGTGTAATTGATTACATGAAACTGGTGTGTTAAAATTCAAGAAAACGTACAGCATATTTTATATGCGATGTATAATATACATATACACACAACAAAAGAGGGTCAAAGAATTTTTTGTTGTACAATAAAATTTATATATATATATATATATATGAACATATATCTCTTATATAAAAAACATTCCAACTTCTAAATCCCTGAAAACTCCTTTCTGGATTTAAGAAAACAAAGGATGAGATGGCTCCTCTTACAACGATGTATAAAACTTTATACTCTTTAGAATAGCAAGATGCTTAGGTACAGCTTCTGAAATATTCTATGGATTTAATTCAGTCTCTAACTAGATGTGGAGTGGAGTGCCAAACATCTACTGCAAGGAGGCGTATAGAAAATTATTTAAATTCATAAAGAAATCTCCCACGCACAAAGTTCTTTTTATTATGTCTCTTCAAACCATAATCCTTCCAATAGTGTCTAATACAATCTAGCAAACATCTAATAGAAATTCTTCACAATACAACCAAAGGTCAGAAGGAGGGGTTATAATACTTCTCCCTGGTTCTTTTAGAGTAGTAGTCACCTTACATTAAAAGTTCTGTCCAGAGTCTCTTTTACAAAAGCATTTTTAATTGTTTTTCCTGACTCTTGAGCTCTGTTTTGGAATCTGTGTGCTGGTTTGATTTGAGCTTCCTTGATTTGAGTTTTGGGAACAGTTTGCCTACTGAAGCATTGAAAGTTCTACTCTGCATTTCTTTGGTATTATCAATTGTGTATTTAAATCATCACAATAGAAAAGCCTCTTGGTTTAATTGGAGTGACTTGGTCTAGCAGATCTAGTATGTCTACACTGCAGTGTAAGGCCAGGGTTAGCAGGACTTTAGGAATTGAGATTCTGGGTCTGTAAGCCCAGGGCTTGAGCACTGGCACTGCATATTGACCTTAAGTTTAGAATTTCTGGACCTGCGCCTCCAGCATCCACACTGCAGCTCACAGATTCTGCTCCATGCATTGCAATATTTACATGGGCCCACATTACACAGCAAGCTCCTCTTTAAATGGACAGCATTTTACTGAAGGGCTGAGTGTGCTCTGGGATTTCAGGAATAGTAGCAGCATGAGCACTACCCACCTCCTTTAAATCAGCATAAACTTGGTGACCCAGTCATGTGGGGAGTACTACCCATTTACTACACCTCTACACCTGCCAGGAAACAGAATGCTCAATCTTGATCAAATTGAGGTTTTTCGGAGGGTTTCTGTGTGTGTTTTGGGGGGGGGGGACGGGTAGTGCACTGAAGGGTTTGATATTGTTATCTATAGTTGCTTCCAAAGGCAAAACACTCTTTTATTGGCATCAGTGAGAGCAAGGTTAGGTCTCTAATTGAAAAGAGGAACATTTAGGTAAGTTTTTCAGACAAAAGCTAGGAAGCATCTGGGTATCTTCCAGAGCATTTGATTGCAAATATGTGCTAGATTTATTTAAACTATTTATTCTTCCCTCTAACCTACTAGAATCTGCCTGGTCTACAATGTCCAGATGATGCATGCAGATCCCGTGGTGCTGTTGGCAGGTCCCTAAAGAAAATATGGACTGGATGTTGGAGCTTGAAGGTCGATAGGATGTTCGACCTTTTGGAAATACTATGCACAAACTGGACTGCAGATTGGTGTTTCCAGCACCACAGTATTCCAAGAAGCTGAGATTTCTAACTTTATTACTTACTTCTTAGTCTTCATTTGACATCTGAATTTTAAAAGCCTGTTCTCTAATTTAATCACATTCTAGAGCCCTCAGAAAAAAACTGACACTCATTACTGGAGATTTCTCTATGAATTTTTGTAATTGCTGCAGCATTTAAATTCTGTCTAGATGAGCCACATATATTCACTGGACCAGACCAGAGGCTTGGAAGATAAACTGGGTTTATTTTTATTTTTTTTAGGAGACACACCAAAAGTCCACTTTCAAGAACACATTCCTGTTTTCCAAAATTCCTAAATTAACAGTGGTTTGCATCAATGCCTCCATAGCATATAGATGTATGTGCAGCACATCCACTGCATGTAATGAGGAGCTGCACATCTTACACATATTCTCTTCATCTTCTGGAGCTGGAGTGTCTGTAAGAGATTGTCAAAGCAATAGGACTCTAGAATTTTAGTGTATTCTATCTAGACCAAGTGGTATCTCATCTATTTCTCAGCTAGTGGTGAGCCTCAATTTCAAATGTGAAAAAATCCACAGACACCTGCTGTCATTTGGGGTTTGTTTTGGTATTATGAGTAACTTCAAAGGAACTTGACCTTCCAGCAAATGTTCCTTTTATTACATTTATTAATTCAGCATCATATGAAGTGCACCATTTTATTTTGTAGTCATCCTTTTAGATTTATGGGTATGTCTACACAACAGTTGGGAGGTGTTAGGCTCAAGCTAGTGCCTAAAATAGCACTGTAGCTATCCTAGCAGGGGAGGCTCAGGTTAGCTGCCTGAGTACATACTGGGAAGGGGACAATGGGATAGTACTTAGGTGGTTAGCCTGAGGTGTCATAGCCAAGCTGCTATTTTTAGGCACTAGCTTGAGCAGAGCTAGCACATATCTATCTACCCCTCCTTGGGAATTACAGTGTGTATACAAACCCTGCGTGGTCCCCTGCTGGTGTGTGCTCATACCCTATGTGGGCAGTATTACTTATAAGGCTGTTTAGCAGGCAGAGAGCGATTCTGATGATTCTCTTCATTACTATTCTAATTCTTTGACAAGGCACTATACATTGTGCATTCAATTGCTAATTTAGATTGTTCCATTCAAAACATTAAAAAGATTATTAGTGGTTCGAAAAGTTTCAGGAACCACTAATTCTAATTCTCCATCAAACAATTTAGTGATTTTCCAGATCTATTTTGCACTTGAAAATCTATATAATTTATAGCTAAAAACAGTGAAATGGCAGCATTTAGTAATAGAAAAATATATATTTACAATCAATATTGTTATCTTAGAATTGCAGCTCTTCACATTTTCTGAGCTCAACTAAAAGTGCCACACTACTTAAAAATCCAAAGTCTGCTCATGTCCAAAGGCATGTACATAGGCAGGGGTTTCATTCCTGATACATAAAATATCCCACTGACAGGTTTTTTTCTCATTTGTTTAGAAATTATGTTGTTTTTTTTGCTTTTGTTTGTTTATGGTCAATTTCAAGCATACATTCTCAGGTATTTGTGCAATGTGTTCTTAGTCAGTATGGCAACCCCTCCCCCCCAAGGTACAATCCCCAATGATGTCTGCAAAAGCAGCTACAGAACCACCGAGGAACGGAAGCTCTTGCCTGTTTGTGTTTGTCCTCCTTGACCCTTCTTTTGTTCTTAAAAGAAAAAAAAAGGTAAAAAAAAAATCACACATCGATTTTACAAATTGCTAAAGTTAACCCAGTGCAGCACAATACACAGATTGGTAATGAACATTCACCCACGCTCGATTATACTGCAGAAGTAAAAAGAGTATTGGTTGAAATTCAATCACAAACAATATGAACTGAAATTAGATAGTTAAAGAACAAAGGCTTTGGACCAGCTAAGGTAAATACATTAGGTTGTAAAACATTCAATATTCAACTTTGCATGTGTGTGTTGGCCTGAAAGTGACACTGAGAACCTGTCCACATACATTAAAAACCCCACATACATTAAAAAAAAAAAAAAAAGCAGGTGGCCTGAAGGAACGTGCCTACCGGAATGGCCAGTGGTCCATGTGTTGCTCATACAGAGTATATTCGTCAGGCCAGAAGTTATGTGCAGATAGGTGGCACTTAAATTAAAGAAAACCCACACAAAACCAGACCAGGAAACAAGAAGCAGCAGTGTCCTGTGATTATCTTAAAGGGTTGATGACTGTCTGGCAGTTTGCAGGTAGCATTTAAGTGAGCTGTCAACTCATGCAGATCAGTGTATATAAGCCAAAAGGCATCATCACACAATTCAGTGCCCACATGAAACAGGGCTGCATTTAATGACTGTGCAATTCTTTGTAAAGGCTTCCACCACAAATCTCTCCATTATGCAGAAAATCTATTTCTCAAAGTATTAGAAGTCATCAGCTCCATGCGTTGCATTTGCGCTTAAGTGCACTGCACTCTTTTTGCATTAATGCTGCCACCCCCAT